TTTGGTGCTAACCAAAAGGTTGGCAGTTCGAACCCATTCAGTAACTCCATGGAAGAAAGGTCAAGCTGCCATACCTTCCTCCTGCAGAGAGACTTCTGGGTTCAAACCACCAACATTTGGGGTAGCAGACAAGTGTTTGACCGCTATTCCATCTGGGGCCCTCCCAGAAAGATGACCGTGCTGGGGGGTAGTTCTACTCTGTCACATGGGGTGAGTGAGAGAGGAAAATTGACTCTGTGGCAGCCAACAAGAAGAAAAGAATGGTCTGCTCTCTTCAGATAACAATACAAAAGAAAACTCAGATGGGTTAAATTGATCAGTGGATTTCAAAATGAAATTAAATATTTTGGATAAATAATTATTCACTCGCTTACAATGAAACGAGGTCATTGCATTCTCCTTTTCCATGAGCTCTCTCCAGGGAAGAGCAGCAGCCCCCAAAGACAGGGCTCTTTGCACTCTTGCTGGAGTGCTGAAGTGATTTCAGGGTCATTGGCTAGCAGGATTTGTGGGTACTTGGTTCCTATTTATATTTTTATTTATAATAAATGGCTTCAAAGTCAATTTAGTATAAACATACCAATTAAGTTTTCAAAGACTTGTAAATTTGGAAATGATCTCCAGTGGAAGCCTTTTTGTCCTGCTTAGTTTGTGTAGAGTTATTGGTGGGTTTCAAAGAACTCTGTATTTACTTAAACAGAATTAAAAGACTTCTGGAAAGGGGCTTTCAGTCACAAGCTTTAGAACTGTTGATACTTGGGACCAGATAATTCTTTGTTGTGCAGCACCTCTGATCTCTACCCACTAGACACCAGTAACATCCCTCATCAGCTATAAATAATAAAAGAAAAGAAACCTCGCCAAGTATTGCCAAATGATCCCTATGGGGCCAAATGGCACCAGTTGAGGACCATTGGATTTACCTAACATCCAGGAGATATTAAAAAATACATTTTATATATATATATATATATAATCTCCTGAGGGTCCCGGAATAGAGGGAGGGGGGAGGGGGACTAAGGAGCTGATATCATTGATGACTGTATAACTTCACTTGATGGGTCTGAGCAACAAAATTGCACATAAATGAATATATTGAATTGTGTAAGATATAGCAAGGAAGAAGAAGAAAAAATATTTGTAGGGGAAAAAACAATAATAAGGGTTCCTGGGGGGAAGGGTGGGAGATGGAGGGGATAAAGGGGAGCCGATATCAAGGAGTTAAAGAAGAAAAAAATGTTTCAAAACTGATTGTGGTAGTAATTGTACAATACTGCTTGATGTGATTGAACTGTGGAATGTTATGTTACCTGTAAGAGCTCCCCCAAAAATGATTAAATTTTTTTAAAAAAGAAACCTGGAAAAAACCATGTTATATATATATAATAAATTCCTGTTCCCAATAACAGTGGCGAGGTAGTTCTAATTTTTCATATAAAAATATGTAGGCTGCTGTCTACAAGAGGAAACACAACACCAAGTTCCTTGATGCTTGTCCTTAATGCCGTCTCAGCATTTCTGTACCTATGAACTTGGTTCATCCTTTTTATGCAAATTCCTGAAGGTAAAAAGACTTTCTGCAAACTGAGATTGTTAATGGGAAATTCAGAGAATGTAGCTAGAGCGTTTTTATTGACAACTATCTTCCCAGGGGTTGTGCCAAAGGTGATACATTTAAACCAGTGGATCCACATGATTCAAAGGAAGGAGAAAAAAACATGGACGCTAAAGGGATGGATTTCCATCAAAAGACGCTACCATCACATCTGTGTGACTGCATAGGGCAATGTCTACAGGGAGTCTAGACTAAGGGATACGCAGGTACATGATGAGCAAATACAGTTAGCTCTCCCTACTGGCAGGTCTCCTATCCAAGGAATCCACTCACAGCCGATTAAAAATATTCAGGGAAGAAGGGGGATGTAGAAAGGGGAAATTGATCACAGGGAGCTATGTATAACCTCCTCTCTGGGGGACGGGCAGCAGAGGGGTAGGTGAAGGGAGATGCTGGGCAGTGTAATATAAGATATAATAATAATTTATAAATTATCAAGGGTGCATGGGGGAGGGAGGCAGAAGAAGGGAAGGGGGAGGGGGGAAAAGGAAAATGAGCTGATTCCAGGAACCCAAGAAGAAAGCAAATTTTGGGAATAATAAGGGCAACAAATGTATAGATGTGCTTTACACAATTGATCTATGTATTGTGATGAATTGTATGAGCCCCAATAAATTGATTAAAAAAAAGAAAAAGTAACTAAGTGGTCAAAGCAACCCCTCAAGGGCTAAGAGGGTGCACAAAGTGCTCCTTAAAGAGCCTTCACGTGGCTTTAGGTATCATTAGCAATCTGGAGAGAATTTAAAGTATATAGGAGGATATATATAGGTTGTACATGAACAATACTCCATTTTTCAGTGTATATGGAATGTGAGCATCCATGGGTTTGGATATCCCTGTGGAAGGAGAGGCCATGGGTGGGGGTGGGGGTGGGGCAGTCCTGGAACTTACCCTTCACGGATACTGAGGATATCTCTATAACAAAATGCTTTACATCACTGTGGAAGAGAGGTTTCAAGTACTTTGAGATAATACGTTTGTTTTGTTTAAAATATTCCCCCAAATCCTTACCATTGGAGGCTCAGATGGTGAACAAATACAATTCCAGTCTAAAAAAGGTCCTGCAAAGCACTGTGTGCCAACACAGTTCAATCACCCCAGTGGGGTGGGGGTGGGGGAACTGAATTAATTTTAGAAATATTGAACATCTGGAATTGCACAGGCACCACAGTTGTCATTGATCATGTACTGGCCATTACCGGTATGTATCAGCTGACTGTCAGCCCTCAGAAAAAGAGGACCGCCGCACAATTTCCATGTACACAAAAAATACACACACATATCTGCGCATACACAGCTTAACAATGTCCGTGATAAGAAACGCTGCCCACAGTTACCTCTAAACAAGGGAATGGGTAAGGGTGCCATCTAACTTTTGGTTTCCTGCAGGTCAGTTTTCAGACAGAAGGGAGCTTGTTCGTAACTATTCTAGAACAGGCATGAACTCATACTACCCTGGGCAAAGCAGGCGATCTGTCACTCTAGAACTGAAGGACGAGTTCCAGACTTGAAGTAGATCTACTTTCCTTGCCACCATGGGAGTGTGTGGTCCATTATTCCCTCCCTCTGTTCTGTTTTAAAGTGAAAGCGCTCTCGGGAAGAGAGTGGACTCCACCTGCAGTGAAAGCAGAGGAGGAGGAGACCCATTGTACTTGTATGGTTCCTGTCTTTCTCTGAGTCTGACTCCACTCAATAGCCATGAGGTTAGTCTTAGTTGACCATTATCATTCAGAAAGAAATCTGTGGTTAAGCTGGACTGTGGGTCAAGGCATTGAACTCTTTAGTCCAATAAATCAGTTAACAGTGAAAAATGACTGCAAAGAAGTCAGTATAAGATTAGGTAGTTGTCGGGGTGCAGGCTAGTGATTTGCCAGAGAGGAGTAAACTCAGGACGTCATTGCCAATGTTTTTGGTGGGCCTTGCATAGATAGGAATGAATTGTTTTTCCTTTCCTGACCTTACAATATCCAGTGGGAAGTTTCAAATTGTAGAGAAAACTCAAATGTAATAGCTCAATTGTGTTACCCAGTGGTATCGTGGTTCCACTGAGACCCATTTAAAAGTAGGATGTCACATTTAAAATGAAGATTGTAATGGAAGCATTTGGGTGCCATCTCAGCCAGGAGGTCACAGCGAGGTCCGTTTTCAGTGCATGCTTTACGTTGCCAATGCTTGGTGCCAGCTTCTGCTTGGTGCCAGCCGTGGAGGGCATATGCTGGGCCTCTTCCTACGGCGCTCTTCTTTTCTTTGTTAGAGAACTATATCATGATTTTGTAGTATTTCATATTAATATTTCTTCTGTGAAGCACAAAATCCCCAAATGAAGGCTCTTCAGGCATCATGGGAAGAGCCAACAACCAAACTCCCTGCCATCAAGTTGATACCAACGCACAATGGCATTCTGGGACAGGAGAGGAAGACCTGCCCCTGGAGTTTCTGAGACTGTCACTCTATACTGCAGTAGCAAGCACTGCCTTTCTCCCAAGGTGGTTTTGGCCATACAGCGCCCAGTAGCCGCTGGCGACAATCAATCTAGCCACAGGAGAAGGAGCATATTGGCAGTATGTCTTTGCCTAGACTTTAGGTAGCCATGGCTGGTCACCTGATGATAAGGACACTAGATGCAGAGAAGCTAAATATTCCTTGCAGTTACATTTGTTTACAAAATACTGCAAAAGGAAAACCAGTTCTAGCAAAGGACCCCTTGTATCGTTATCCCAATTTCAAGTTTAACATCTTCCTTCAAGGGAAGAGGAGCTACAAGTTGAGCTGGACATAATGAAAACTAGCTTTCCAGGTCATGGGTCAATTCCAGAATCCCTTCAAATAGAAAATTTACCAACAAACAGTGAGAAACAGTCAGAAGCCGTAAGAATGATTGGATTCCACTGGATATGTTTCATAAAAATTAGACATTGAACGAAAGCATGAAGAACGCCATTACTTTTGGACTAGGATTTGAATTGCAATGATTTGAATTTGATATATCCCCATTAAATCTGGATAATAGGCCAAGTTTGTAAAGAAACTAGTTTATTCCTAGATAGGAAGGAAGAAAAAGAATGGGCATTTGAAAAATCAAAATGGATGAACTTCATTTTGTCGCAGGAGCTTCTTAGGAATCCTAAAACGGTGGAGCTAAGCATCAGGATGCTCCATTTCAATATGATGCTAAACCTACCCAAAGGCAGTTTAAGATTCTGATCTTTAATGGTTGAATAGCATCTATTGTTCTCATGTACCAGCAGGGAAGTGGTTACATCCACATTGGGAGAAAGATAGTGCTTTTTACTCCAGTAAATAGTTACAGTCTCACAGCGGTGTGAAGAAGAGGCAAGAATGACCCCCGATCGGCCTGCGCCTGCGCCCCACCACTGTGGCCGCCATGCCCAAGAGAGAGGCTGAAGGGGATGCTAACGGCGATAAAGCCAAGGTGAAGGATGAAGCTCAGAGGAGATCAGCAAGCTTATCTGCTGAACCTGCACCTCCAAAACCAGAGCCTAAGCTTAAAAGGGCCCCTGCCAAGAAGGGAGAGAAGGTGCCCAAAGGGAAACGGGGGAAAGCCGATGTGGCTTGGATGGGAACAGCCCAGCAGAACATGGAGATGCCAACAGACCAGGCACGGAAAGCTGAAGGTGCTGGAGATGCCCAGTGAAGTGTGTGGATTTTTGATAGCTGTGTACTTCTGGTGACTGTACACTTTGAAATACTATTTTTTATCAAGTGTTGTAAATATGCAGACTTTTTTTTTACTTTTTTTTAAAGCTATTTTGTTAGCACACAGAACACTTCATGGTTGTCTTTTGGGGGGAGGGGCAAATGTCACTCATTGGCTGTCTCCAAAGCTTGATGGAATGGAAGACAACACCTTGCCCTGCTCGTTTTGAGAGACTCCCTCTGGGTTCCCAGGAGAAGGGATCCCCTGGCATTGGCACGGTTAGCCGCCTTGGCACAAACACCTGGTGAGAGGGGCAAAATACGGCTTTGCTTTTACATCCTCCATACCTTCTCCCTCTGCCTTCACATAGACTTGACTCCCATGAACCAAGACACCCGTTGGGACCTGGCCTCAAAACACTGGTTGTTAGTAAGTATATCGGGCGATCTGGACTTTCCAGGGACGCCGCCCTCAGGGCATCCCTCAAAAGAGCAGCGCTCCCTGTGTTCCCGTTGTGGATCTTCAGATCAGTGATTCTGCCTGTTCATTTCGTTCTCTGAAAGGGTCGGCTCGTGAAAAGTTGTTAAAAAGCACGCTAACTGTGAAGTGTCCACCCTCCCTCTACACTCTCCCCATTCAGAGCACCCGCTGAAGACTGCAGTGGATTTTACAGGGGCTTTCTGATTTGGGTAGCCCATTGAAGAAGGGGGTTTGGAAGTTGCTGTGTGCTGTTAACGATCATCTGCCCATGTCCTGCCTGAAGACCGTGATTGTTTATGAAAAGTATCTTTAATAAAGCTGGATATAATTTTGGGGGTGGCGGTGGGAAGAGTTACAGTCTCAGAAACTGTAGGGGACAGTTCTTTTTACCGTCCTGTACTGTCACTATGAGTCAGTGTCAACTCAATGGCAGTGAGTTTGGGTTTGGGCTGTTCCTATGATGCCTGAAGAAACTTCGTTCTGAGACTGATTTTGCTCCACAGAAGAAACACTACTATGAAATACTATAAAATCGTGATATGATTCTCTAACAAAGAAAAGTGAAAACTGATCTATAGTCATTGAAAAACAAATAGCTAATATCAAGCTTTGTTTTTCAAAACAGTTAAAAAGTCACCTTGCCTATCTAAAAAATGGCAGACTTTTAGTTCAAGGGTCCTCAGTTAAAGGTGTTTACCTCTTTATTCATACTCTAAGTCACGTTGAATCGACAAAATAGAAATAGGTGCTAGAATTATAAATATGTGCTGTGGTCGGGGTAAAACTAGAAAATGGAAACATTCAGATCCTATCTTTCAGAGATTACTACTTTCAAAACTGTATGCATCCTTTCAAAACTGTTTCTTAGCAAATGGGATTTCCCAACAGCTATCTGTTTTAAATGGGAGCACGTTGTTTTTGTATGTTTTTTTGTTGTCGTTGTCAACCATGCATTCACTCTTCAGAAAGAGCAGTAAATAGAATTCTGTGGCATAACTTCTTTTGGTGGTTTTAACGTTCTCCATTGTGTGCCTACAATAGGGTGCTTTGGGTTGGTGGCAACAAAGTCTATACATGCTTGACGTAAACAACTGAGGACATTTATTACCCCACTGAAAGCAGCTCAGAGTTGTCATTCGGAGCGGTTTCTGGCTCTCCCATCCTCAGCTTATTGGTTTTGCTTCAGGCCCACCCCCTCCTGGTAACACAGGTTGCTGCTGCAACTTCCAGCTTTCCCCAAAACCCTCAGAAGTTTTCCCCTCTCGGTTTTCCTAGACTGAGAAAAGCCGTGCCCAACACCATTAGCTGCTGTGTGGTAATTGGGACTCCAGTGGTCAGGAAGGAGGTGAGATGCAGGCGTGGTTGAACGGCATTAGGGGAAGCCCACGCAGGGTCTTAGGAAGCTGTGCCATGTTACTCACTCTCTCCTCGCATGGTTAAACTTGTTGATCGTCGGAAGCTTATTACTATGGACGGTGGTGCCGCAGATCTCCTTGTAACTGAATTGGAGGTACATGCTTAAGTATATCCCCCAGAAAGTAGATCCAGAAGTAGAGTAGCTGGCTAAAACATTTGTAGAGCTTTTATAGTATTGCTGGTTCCTCCACTTTAAGGCTGTCCAATGTACACCTCCAGTTAGAAGCCTGAGTGGCCCCCAGTAACTCACTCCCTGGTCAATGGAAGTGTTTTGTGTTGTCTTAATTTTCAGATAGATGTGAAAATTGGTGCCTTTTTAAATTTTGTATTTCATTAAAATGCTGTTATCGCTTAATGTTATTGGTTGGTTGTATGCCTTCCTTATGAGCTGCCTAATCACAGTCTGCCTGGTTTTATTTGAGCAAACAGGACTTGATTTAAAATTGGAGCATAGTAAATAAGATGGCAGGACCATCATATAGAGGGCAGAAGCTATTATATGGTTGTAATGCATGTTTGGGGGGTTATGTTAAATATCAAGAAGTAAAATAATTCATTTTATGAGTAAACATAAAATTGTGTGTAGGTTGTAAAAAATGGTTATTTTTGAAAAAGAAAATTGAAATGTTTTATCATTTTTGTTATTCAGCATGTCCAAATACTCTAGGCATGGTAAACATCATGCTTTTGAAGAATCAAGTTGTGTTTCTAATAAAGGAGGTATTGTTACCCTTAGCATGAAAAGAATAGGGGCATGATGTCTTTATACAATAATAAAACTAAACATTATGGCATTTTTATGAACTAGGGGGAAAAATAATCCGACCACCTGGAAAAGATCAAGCTCAACAGGTCTGCTGGGTCCTGCTGTCTTCCTGGCAGTGACCTTCAGGAACAGCTTGAGGGTTTGAGGAAAACAGACAGATAAAACCGTGGTAAAGGGAGAACCTAACCCAAACCAAATGGAACCCACGGCCCTCAAGTCTATGCCAACCCACAGAGACCCGGAGGGCAGAGGGGAGCTGCCCCACGGGGTTTCCAAGTCTACAGGTCTTCACAGGGACAGACAGCACAAGCCCCCCCCCCCCCAGACCAGTCCAAGGGCTCCGACCACACTGCTGACCCTGGAGTTAGCAGCTCAAACACTTGCTGGACTCTCATCACGAGAATCTACTAGGTTCTAAGCCCTCCTTTACAGGTCCTGCCAAGAAGTCAGAATGCAAATTACGTTGCCAGGTTCTTTCCAGAACACCCCCTTCCAATTTCAGCCTTGGTTTCGTCCCCACAATGCCTTCATCCTCTCACAATCGCTCTTAAGAAGGAAATGGGATGAGATAGATGAGGTGTGCACGGCATAATTAAGCACGCACACACCTATATCTTAGGGGTAGTTCTTATTTTTATGAGAAGAAATAGCACAGGTGAGTGTAGAAGTCCCTGACGTGCTCTATGAGATCCAAGGAGAGAGCAAATCTTGCCCAAAGAGAGAACATGGTTTTCTGCTATTTGAGCGGCGTCTTGAAAGGTGAAATGGGTTCAGATGTGTGGCAGGGGCAGGTGAAAGTAGAAAATACGAAAATACTTTCTAGGTGAATTTTTAAGCATGAAAAATAGAAATTATCATGGCCACATACACATGTTCAGTGATTTTTTGTTAGGTTCCAGATTCTGAAATAGTTCTATCAGAACTAGAAAACGGCAGCATTTTTCTCCCAAGGAAGAGTAAGTATACCTTTCGTTCATCCCGATTCAATGAGACTTGAGTCCCTGCCAGCTTGCTTCACAGTAAATTTAAAGTATTGTTTTTATTGTGTTTTCAGGGACCGTTTACACAGCAAATTAGGTTCCCATTTGGTAACTTCTACACAGATGGTTCGGTGACCTTAGCTAACGTTTTCCATATGCCGACATTCTCTTTCATGGTGTTCTGGGTGTTCTGCTTCTAGAACTCTAGTTTCCCTGTCCCCTTAGCATCTCATTTTTGCATTAGAATCCTTGTCGACAGGAAAGGTAGATTTGAGAGCAAGATCACAGAGAATGAGGGAGAGTCTGAAAATCCCTGACGAGACGAGCAAAGAGAGAGTCCAGAAATGGAGTTTCCAACCACCGCCTCCTGCTCCCCTTCCCTTCCTGATTGCCTCCAGATCACACCCTCTGAAAAGAATCGTGTTGACACGCAAACACACGCTCCCAGCTAAGTTTAGGCAGGGCAGAACCAGTGGTACCACACATTTACAAACAAGTAGAAAGACCCATTGTATTATAGTAAAGCCTGTGAAAGTTGGACCCCATCAGAGGAAAGCTCAAAGATTTTCCTCTGACAGAAAGCAATAGAAAAGAGGTGAGACTGCCCCTGTCAAAGGCAAAAAATGTGCAAGACCCAGAAAAACAAGAAAGTCCAGTGGAGTTGCAGCTCTCACGGGACTCACTGAAGCTCAAAAAACCCGTGTGTTTCTGCCACAGCACCCTGCTAGCAAGCAGACCTTCTGTGTGGAGGGGATTTAAAAGTCTCTTTCATGCTCTGGTCCAGCCAGATTTGTAAGGTAGAGTTGGGCTCATGATAGTGGGGGGAGGAAGCATTAAAGAGCCAGAGTAGCATGGACACAGGTACACATCAGAGCTGGAAACACAGGGAATCCAAGACAGATAAACCCCTCAGGACCAATACTGAGAGTAGCCATGCCAGGAGGGGAAGGGGAAGGTGGGGGAGAAAGTGGGACTGATCACAATGACCTATCTATAACCCCCTCCCAGGGGGATGGACAACAGACAAGCAGGTAAAAGGAGACATCTGACAGTGCAAGACATGAAAAAATAATAATCATTTATAAATTATCAACGATTCATGAGAGAGGGAGGGGTAGGGAGGGGAAAAAATGAGGAGCTGATGCCAAGGGCTCAAGTAGAAAGAAAATGCTTTGAAAACGATGATGGCAACATATGTACAGATGTGCTTGAGACAATGGATGGATGTATGAGTTGTGATAAGAGTTATATGAGCCCCCAATTAAAGGATTTTTTGAAAAAAGAAGCTTCTTTCAAACCACAGAGCGAGGTCATTGAATGTAACGCTGATATCGAATGCACCAACCTGAATGTCA